ATAAAGCAGAAAAAAAAAAGTTTCTAGTCATATTATAAGTAGATAGAAATTTTTTTAGATATAAAATATACAATTTTACTCTTCATTTTATATTGTGTTGAATTATTTTTATAGAATATAATGTATATTAATATGAATAAATTAAAAAATAATAAATTTAATGAGGATTAATAAAATGTAAATTTTTTATTTTATCAAAATATATTAAGGGTTTTGTTTGGTTGGAGGGGAGGGGAGGGGAGGGGGAGGGGAGGGGAAATGAGCCCCTCCCCTCATTTGGTTAAAATTTTGGAGGGGAGGGGAGCTAAAATGTCCCTCCCCTCCCTCCCCTCCTCCCCATTTTGACTCCCCTCCAAATTGAGGGTTTTTGGAGGGGAGCCAAAATTTTGGACCATTATGCCTTATGACTTTTTTAATATTCCACTTCTACCCATAAATATATTATTATAAATTTATTTCAAATAAAAAATATATTATCCTAGTAAAAAAAATAAAAATAATTACATTATATAATTAAAAATATATTATAAAAAATATTAAATAAAAATTATAATATATAAAATTAATTGTTTTTTTATAAAGATATTATTTATAAATATATTTTAAAGCTGGAAAAAAAGATAGTCTAAGAAAATAAAATTTCATTTTTCTTATAGCATATAAAATTTGTTATTTGATTATTTTAAATATATTATTATATTAATTAGAATAAAAAAATAACTAACCAATTTTTTAATACACATATTAACATGATAGACTGAATTTTTATTAAATTAATAATTTAAATTAAGATGTAAATTAATTTAATAATATATCAATAAAAAATAATAAACTATATAAGGGTAAAATAGTAAATTAATATTACATCCCTTCCCTTCCCTCCTTAAACCAAACAGGGATCATTAAATGCTCTCCCCTTCCCTCCTTTTTAATCAAACCAAATAAGGGGAGGATGAAACCTCCCCTCAAACCAAACAGGCCCTAAAAGTAATTTATAAATGTAATTAGAAGAGCACATGACCAGATGACATATTCAAGCGTCCTTTTTCCTGGTAATATTGTTATAATTTTTTTTTAACTTTCACATGTTTTAAATAAATATAATACGTCTGCTGGTCAATAAATAAATAAATATAATACGTCAGTTTTTTGTTTTATTTCGGTGGGGTGGGGATAGGGTTGGAGCCTTGGGGGAGAGAAGCCATCGATTCTTTGCAGTCTTTTCCATTTGACAATTCCCAAAAGATGAGCAATGACCCCTGGGACAAGCTATCTAGGACTGCCCTATAGCTTCTTACTGGACACACTCCCCGCGGGGGGCCAACCTTCCTTTTTCGGATACAGTAGGTATAAATTTTCTTTTGTTTTAAGGTACATTAGCATATGTTTGATTTATTTGATGTAATCACTGTGTTGCCCATTTCACAGAGCATCTCAACCTCTGCATGTGAGGGCAGTGAATTTACTCTTTTCCCCTCACTATCTTTCTTTGTTGGCCAATTCCTGAAATATATGTCCCCCCCCCCCTCTTTTCACGCCCATCTTTTAATTAATCAATGCCTTATCAATCATTAAAGTCACAATATACCTCTCATTTGCTATTAACGCATCAAAAAGTAGCCTATAAAGTGAAAAACAGAATAACAAAAAAGGTGCTAATGCAAGCATTCAATCACATTTCACATAATAAAACACACTTTTTAAAAATTTATTTTTGGAAATACTTCATAAAGTTTGAACTTTTTTAGAATATGGAAGCATAAAAGAGCAGCATGAATGAATGTAGATCTGCCCACCGGCCCTCAAATTGAGGGAAAGCGTCGGGAACAAATCAAAAGGTACGAGAAACAGAAAAAAGTAGAGCCTAACCAGGAAAAAAAGATTCAGGGTGATCAATTATTAGGCAAGGGAAATTTTAGAGACCTTTCTTTTTCCTTTTGCCCCATCACTACTCCCCAGCATGCTTGTTCATTTCGTTCCTGCTAGTGCTCTGAAACGTAAAAGGGTCGCCAAATCTACCTTTTCACAGTTCATGCAACTCATCATTGCTATACTTCACCCCAAGTCCTCTTTTATTTCCGCCATAATAATCGAATTTTATTGGACCTGGAAAGTGTATGGATTAAAGCGGGTATGAACAGTTTTAGTTCATGATTGTTCTTGATTTGGCCGGGTGACACATTGATTTGTGATCATATTAAGGGCTTGAAGGAGCAATTGAGATTTAACCATATAAGGGGTCCATCCAGTTATGGCTAGTGGTGTCATTTCTGGAGTCATAATTACTCTTGAGGGCATGATTTTGGAGTAGTAGGTAAGGATAAGAATAAAAATAATAACTGGAGCAGTTCAAATCCTAATTCCAATCCCGTCAGCTTAACGTAATTATTCTAAGAGATATTTGGATCCTGCAAATGAATTCTGTAGTTTCACCGCCTTGTGCTTGATTTCTCAGGAGTTTTAGAGCCAAAATGAATTTCAAATTAAGTTCAATGACGACCCCCCCCCTAAAACACTGTCATCATCATTATTTTTCAAAATGTTTTGAGGAGGAATTTTTTTATTGGTGAGACTTCAAAATCAGGATTTATGCTATTACCGGCTTACCTAACCCGGTGGACCAGATTGTGCACCCCAGTTATCCAGTTAAGATTCTTTCTCAGAGGAAGTGACGAAGGACAGAGAAAATAGCCAGAAATATTACTTAATTATAATATCTTATTTGTTTATAAATTATAATTGAGATTTTATAATTAGGATAAAAATAATATATAATCAAGATGAGGTAGTATATATTTATATATATGCCTTAACCTGAACAAACAGTCAAACAGCACAAATTCCGTCATCATTGTCCTGTGATAAGTTTCAATATTACTTGGCAAACCAAATGATAACAATAATAATACCTCATACATGCTCTCTGTTTTCTCACTTATCAACCAATGGTCTGAGTTTCACTGAGTTCCTGGAAAGGTGAAGGACAGTCAAATTATACAAATTTAATGACAGTCATTTTAATTTAAATTTTGAATTCCTTGCATTTAATTTTCAAACTTTGTAGTTGAGAAGTATATGTTGATTTTTACATTCTGCAGCTCTTTTATCATGTATGAGATTTAATGTTAAATTCTCTCAATAAAAGAAATCCCCACAACCTTAATACCGTCACCTGAACACCACAAACATTATTGATGGTATTTTTGTCTTGTAATATTCTTAAATATTGTTTCGTAATAAAGTTAAAGAAAGACAGAAAGAAAGAAAGAGGGGCGTTTTAAAATAATGGGAGTGGTATATTATACTACCTCCGGTCCTAATTATAAGACCCAGTTACTAATTTGAGGAGATTAAGGAAGTAAGTTAAGTTAGTTATTTGTAACAAATAAATGTGTCATTCCAAAATATCCTTGCTAATTAAGTGTTGGTTAGAACTATCATTATTAGAAGGACTATCTTGGAAAAAAATGCATAAACATGAGAGACAAAATAGATTGGGTCTTATAATTAGGACCAAACTAAAAGTCAAACAGGTCTTATATTAAGGACCTAGTATATATAATGTTACACAAGCACGAAAATTTTCCAAGACAATTGACCTATTAGTTAACTAAAATCGACCTAAACTGCTCAACTAATGCCTTAATTTATAGATTACACCTAATCATAGAAACTTCCTCTTAGTCTCTCAGGTCAACTATATATATTGAGGCCACATTGTCAATGACGTGGCTTGTCCCGTTGTCGCTTTCTTTCTTTTTCATGAGACATCCTCACTACATACTGACAAACTCAGTGTACAGCCACGCTCGGTAGGCTTTCCTGATCAACAATATCAAAAATTAGTCTGTTGTTCTAAAACCAAATAATAAAACAATTAAAATTTATAACCCAACCTACGAACAATTTTAATAATAATGCAAGAAAAGTGGTTGCCTTTCTTGGTATGTTGCATTGTCCAAACAAATGATATACATAATAAAAAAAAGTTCGAATCATGGTCGGAAGAGTTGCACCCATGCTTCAAAACAATAGGAAGCCCATATGCTTGATTATATGGTGAACTAAGATTCGAATCCTCGCTGGGAGAGGTGTTCACATTTAGTGTCCGACAGTGCCTTGAATAGGAGGATACCTATGCTTTAAAAAAAAAAAAAGAAGCCCATGTGCCTGAGCCCAATAACATTTTAGTTTTGTTTTTGGTCACAATGGGGTCTTGGAATTTTCATTTAGTTGTTGGGCCGACTTGGGCTTCTGGGTTGAATAATTTGCAACTAAAAAATTGAAGGCCCAGGAGAAAATTTTCCTAATACCACTCCTCTGACAACCGCAATAAAATAAAAGGCAAATGGCAGAAAAATACAAAAACAAATAAGCCAATTCCTGTGATGTTTTTGACTATTTTTATAATGATTTTGACAAGTCAAAATTTATCAAAATTACCAATTTGTTATTTTAAAATTTAATAGGTATTTTTCTGTTATTCTTTCAACATAAAACAAAGTTTGCAACAATGGATTGGATCATATTTCGAACGCGTTGAAAAAAGGTGGGAAAAAAAAGGAAAGTACGTGGAATAACGTAAAAGTAACAGAAAACAGATACTAGTTTGCGCAGGCAAGGCAAGAACCGAGCTCAGATTCACGACATAAAAAATATAAACCATCCTCGGCTCCGCACATTTTTAATGTTGCGTCTCGGCAAAAACATTCCCTTATCTTGCGTTTGCGTCCCATATATACATATAAGTTAACATAACTGAATAAATTCTCACGCATTTTCTTTCTTCCTCACTTAACTCTCTTCCATGCTATTATAAAATCATCAAGAGAACCAAAAAGTGCAAGCAAAGCTTGCAGAAGATTATAAGCCCAGTATTATCTCGGCTCAAACTTCATGTTGCTTCCAAGGCATCACAAAACTCTCACGTCTATCTTCTTCTTATATAAACTCATATATGCCTTTTCAACACTGCGATTTATATCAAGCTGGTCAAAGGAATTATTGAAGTTTTCAGGTTTTGAAAAATGGATAGTAGAAGCCATGTGGATGACGATCACGACGACGACGAGAAGCTGCCACTTTTGCGGAACAAGGACGTGCCGGAGGCAGAACGAAATCTGATTCAGAAAGCAATCAGCCTGACATTTCAGAGCACGGCTCACTTAGCCAACCTTCTGCCCACAGGCTCGGTGCTGGCGTTCCAGCTTCTGTCGCCGATCTTCTCGAACCTCGGAAACTGCGACGCCGTTAGCCGATCCATGACAGCTTTCCTCGTATTTCTCTGCGGAGCGTCTTGTTTCCTCCTGAGCTTCACCGATAGCTTCAGAGACAGCAAGGGTAATGTGTGTTACGGGTTCGCCACCGTGAGGGGCTTGTGGGTGATGGATGGGTCCATGAGGCTTCCGCCTCAGGTTGCGGCCAATTATCGCCTGCGTTTCATAGATTTCGTGCATGCGTTCTTGTCGGTGTTTGTTTTTGGTGCGGTTGCCCTGTTTGATCAGAATGTGGTGAGTTGTTTTTTCCCGGCGCCGACGAACGAGACGCAGGAGGTGCTGACGGCGTTGCCGGTGGGGATCGGCGTGATAGGAAGCATGCTCTTCGTTGTTTTCCCTACTCAGAGGCACGGGATTGGCTTCCCTCTTTCATCTACCTGATGTTTAATTAATTTACTTATTTTGTTGAAATATGTTAGTTCCTCTGTAAATGAAAGGGGGTAAACAGATCGATGAAAACTTCATTCAATTAAAGGGACTCGTGCATGCATTTGGAACAAATTATAGGATTAACGATATTTATCCTTTTAAATGTCATTGTTACCCTTTAAATTAGATGGATTATTAAGGTCTCTTTTTTAACTGATTGAGGGTTGAGTTGAATTGTGAAAAACATAAGAAATAAAATCAACGTAAAAGTGCCTCATCGATCTTCTGTTAAACTAAACAATTTGTTAGCCTCCAATCCGATCCCCCTGATCATCGTAGTTTTGTCGTGAGTGCCCAATGCCCAATCTTGTCAAATCGCTGTGTTGTTTTCTTGCTAGAACGATGTAAGTGTGATGTCACTGGTCACATATAAAACCGCGAGATTATCACATATAAAACAACGAGATTATTACAAAGACAAGGGCTTCAGCCCATTGAACAGATTAAACAAACTCTAGGAATGGCAAATTAAGCAAATCCGGGAGAATTATCCAAATAGTGGAGCTGAAGTTTTTACGCACTACGTTTGAAGTTAACGTAAGCCATTTCCGGAGGTTCTGAATGCAGAAGAAGTTCGGCATTTTATGGTTTGTTCTTCACAGATCTCGTGCGTGTGTATTTGCTCTCGTGTAGTATGCACTTGCCTAATCTACACGGACGTGTATGTGTATACATAGAGTTATCGTGTGCATGCAGGTGTACAAAAACAATATGATCAGCAAACCAATTTATATATGTAAAATAATATATATTCACATGCAAATAGTACTAATGTTTAGTGCCAACCATGGGGATGAGCAGCTCGTTGTTGTAATTAAGGAAATCTGGATTGTCTAAATCTAGTAGTTTCAATGATCTTTTTTTTTTTTGGACTCAAAGTAGTTTCAATGATCTAGATTTTAGAGATTTTTAATTTTTGTTTAGTGGACATATCCTTCCCAATCCTAGAAGTCAGCAGCCAGACGGATAGCTACTAGCTAGCATTAAAAATGCAAACTTGTAAAATAATATCTCGTCCAGTTTTTTGTTGTTTTTTTTCCCCCCTAATATCCTCTCATGCTAATTTTGCCTAGCTTATCCAACAGGACCGGGATGCATATTTTTTATCCTATTTTTTTTTTGTGGTAAAGAAAAGGAAAAAAAACTTAAGTGATTTTCTAGCGTAACCGATTTAAATGTTATCTTTAGATGAGTAGCATCCAAAACTCATCTTTTTTGGACAATCTTGATTTGATCTGAACCATCAAGATTTAATTTTTTCATGGTCAATATTTAATTATCAATTAATTGTTTTTTAAATTAATAAACTATTTTTTTGAAAAAGTGATAGTTAAAAATTATTTTCATTCTAAATTCTATAATTATTAAAATAATTATTTTAAAAAAATGAATCTGAGGATCAGAACGGTCTAAAAAGAATTGATGAGCACTCAAACCCCTTCCTGAATCCAAAGGACGACACCTAAAGATGATCAGCTGGAGACAGAGGCCATTTGGGCAAATTCATGACAATGAAAATAAATGTATTGAGGAGGATATGGCCAACCACTTGCCACGTTCGGCCGAGCAAAGGGACACGAAATTGACAATATTCCCCCAATCATCCAATATCTGTTGGGCCCCTTCATTCACTCGCTAGTCTTGTTTTCTGGGCCAAGATTTGGACGGCTCACAGTCTGAGATTCTATCACTTATGTTCATCACATATACAGATTTCGACATTTAGCATTAATTTTTTTTATATAACGATCTAATAGATCAAATTTGATGATTACCGGGCTTCATTGAAGATACTTCTGTTAAACATCCCTTTTGTATTGAACCAAAGCTTGGGACCTCATGTTAAGTAGTTACAACTTTTTTTACTAAAACCCACATCATTACAAATCAAGATTAAGCTTTTATCTAATAGAATGGATGGTGACTCGCCGAATCAAAAAGTTTGAGTAAGGCCTCAGGGGATCGCCGCTATCGTGTCATTAGCGTCCCGTGGTGCTCCCAGAAAATTACATCAAAGTGCTTAACTATTCTGGTACTCTTCTAATCCTCATTATAAAACTTAATTGTTGAATTCATTCTGCTTCGAAATATAAAATATATTTTCGTCTTTATCATTATTTTTTAAATTATTTTATGATATTCTCGCAATTATAATAAGGTAGGAAAGGGATAAAAGATATTAAGAAAGATGGTTATAGTATTTTAAGAAAAATATGTTATGTTTTTTATAATTAAGCAACTTACTTATTTTTTTAATCTAATCAGCTTAATTAAATAAGTTTTATATTAAAGATAGGAAAAGCATAATTATATGATCTTCAATATTTGTATGCTGGTAACTTTTGGGAATTTTGTATCCTGAATGCTGGAACTATCAACTTTGATCGGAAGAATCGAGTTCCCTGTACTCAATTCAATCCTCATATATTGTTCCATTTGTTATTTTCGTAATGAACGAATGTATAATCGCATCAACACTACTCTAGACGGGGGGAAACTAATCCCTAAAGTTATTACAGGGATAGAACTAAACTTTCTCAAGTGGCTCTTCAAGAAGCTTCACCGTCTCATCCAGTTCTAAACTAAAGTTTGCAAAATAATATAAGCACTAGTATTTCCTTCCCTATACACATGAGCATTTCTAATCTGTACAAAGCTATACAAATTAACAAGCTCGCATTAAAGTCCTCATCTTCCCGCACAAATCTTGTATTTTTCCTGAGGAATTATAGGTTTAAAAAAAATAATTATCAAGAAATTCAAATGACGAGTAAAACAATATAAATCTCGTTGCTATTTGTCATATTACAGCTTATCATTTACTTATTACGAGACTTTCTTGATAATTAAATTCATTCTTTTTTGAAAATAGACAATACTACTTCCCATCCTAATTATAAAATTGTATTTATAATTTATAAATGAGATCTTATAATTAGGATAAAGGTAGTATTTTTTTTAATTGTTCATATGTGAAATATAAAGTGAGAATTAGATATGGATATATGCATAACTGTCCAAGATTATATCACTGCAAACTCAAATCCAAATAATATTGTGTTTAAGCCATATCTAGTGGAACCATGCGCCATTGAAAAATAGTTTGTTAAAGAAAGACCAACGGGATTGGGTCTAGCTGAAGGGATCATAGTATGACAAATTAAGGTTTGAATTCCTATTGAGAGAGATGTTCATATTTAGTATATAACAGTATCTTGAATAAGATTGTACATGAGGACACTTATATTTTAGTAAAAAACAAAAAAAAACTTCATCAAGAGAGAATAGCAGGTGTTGTTGATGGAAACTTCACTCGATAACGCAGGAAGTCCGTGAGATTTTTCACTTCGGCGATAGAGAGGAATAGTGATGTCTGATGAGATGGAGAGGAGCAGCGGAGGAAAAGACGCGGGATAAGGCATCATCACCATTGGCCAATCCTCGCTTCTCTCTCTTTCTCCTTCACATATCTCTCTCTCAGGATAAGAGGGCCCCACTTATCCCGTTCCCTTCCCCCCCCCCCCCGCCCTCGCGATTCTCCCTCCCCCCCCCCAAAAGAACAATCCCCCTGCTCCCTCACATCTCTCACCCTTCCTTCCACATCCAACGCTCCCCATTTTCCCATCTTGTTTCCCTCGACGCACCTGATCACCCACCCCTCCAGGCAGTTAAACTGCAGCCACACGTCACAAAAACTGTTCCTGTACTTGGCTCTGCCATTTCTGTGCCACTCTCACCCTTCCCTCCCTACTCTATATTACGGCCGCATTTTTTGATTTTTCCGTTTGGTTCTTCTCTCTGTTTCGCTGCTGATTCCATGGAATCGCGAGTGTTGTCACGCGCCACCGCCTTCTCCTCCTCCTCTCTCCCCTTCCTCCGCAGGCTCCCGCGCGACTCCCACGGTGCTTCCTTCCTCTCTGTCAAGCCGATCGGGGCCGTTGCCGACGGCGGCAATCTTATCTGGGGAAGGCAGCTCCGTCCCGAGCTATGCTCGCCGGCGCTGAGGAAAGACGCTCCCCTCCGGCCTTGCCTCGCCGCTGCCTCCTCTCCGGCTGAGGGAAGTGATTCCGCCGGGTGAGGTCCGTTCCCTCCGTTCTTACTCGGTTCCCTCGCTGTCGTGTGTGTCCTTATCGACTTTGTTGTTGTGGTTTTGTTTCTTTCTTTCCTTTTCTTTTTACAGGGAGGCGAAAGTGGCTCCGGTCGGGTTTTTCGATAAGTATCCGGCGCTGGTGACTGGATTCTTCTTCTTCATGTGGTAGGTGACCTGATTCGCTGCATCCTCTCCGACTGTGTGTGCCTTTCTCTTCTACTTCTGTTTCTCTGCTATACGCTGAGCTATGCTCTAATTTCCGTTATCTAGCCGTGTTTCTCTCCGTGATCATCGCTTCGCGTTCTGAAATTATGCCTGTGTCCTTTTACCTTTGCAGGTACTTTTTGAATGTGATCTTTAACATCCTCAACAAGAAGATCTACAATTACTTCCCGTATCCATAGTAAGCACTGTTATTATATTCATCAAATTAATGTTTAATTTAGAGTGTTGCTTGTTAATACATTGATTAAGCAAGAGTTCCTGGTTAATGTAAGATGCTAATGGCGTCCAGGTTTCAATAACGAAACGAAGAAGTCGACATACTAGCTCAATGCATTATATGTTAATTCGAGTTCAAATCTCACATTAAATTATAAGTTTCCTAGATCCGTTACAAATAGTATATTTCAATATCTTGGAACTAAACACTTAGTTTCATGCTTTTGGCGACATGCTTCCCTGTGAGCTTCTTTATTATCTTGTGAAGGTAGGTGTGAAAGAGATAATAGTAACAAAGATTGAGATTGATGGTGGACAGTAAAATCTCAGGCTCTATTATTGGAGATGAGCAGTTAAAGTTACGTAGAAGTTAGTATGAAAGTGCTATGATTTTTTTTTTTTGACCAGAGAAAGTGTTATGATTTGATAGTAATTGTCGCTGCTAATCAGTACTAGTAATTGACTTCGACTAACTAATAATAACTTACGGCCGAAATAACCTATTATGGGTGTATGCAGCTTTGTCTCGGTTATCCATTTATTCGTGGGCGTGGCGTACTGTCTTGTGAGCTGGGCCGTGGGCCTACCCAAGCGAGCTGTAAGTAAACTTCAAATTCACTCGGCCCATATCTCATCATCATCGCCCAAAAACGTCCAAAATCCGCAATGTAGGAGAACGTGTTAAAACGTTTGGAGACATGAAAAACACTACTATCAATTTATCGCAATTTTCTAAAAATCATATCTACAATTTTTGTTCATTTATCAATGGCATGTATTCTGATACGTGAATGGCATATTTATATGCTTTGTAGCCCATAGACTCGAACCTGCTGAAGGTGCTGATTCCTGTGGCAGTGTGTCACGCGCTAGGCCACGTGACCAGCAATGTGTCATTTGCAGCTGTTGCGGTTTCCTTCACACACACCGTTAAAGGTGATCAAATTTCTAAAAATTGCCTCAAACTCGTTATATTTGTAATTTTGTAATGTAATCATTGTGAGCTCTTTTGTTTCAGCTCTGGAGCCATTCTTCAATGCCGCTGCTTCCCAATTCATACTTGGCCAGCCAATTCCTTTTACCCTCTGGCTCTCTCTGGCTCCTGTTGTTATTGGTATGATCGTCTCTTGACCGGTGGTTGTTTCTCTCCCACGGTTCACCATCTTCTATCAAATTTTAATGTCATACATGACTATCCTCTATGAACTTGGGATAATGAATATGCTTGCTTTAGAACCAAGATATAATAGAGGTAATATTACATATAAGGATAAATGTGAATCCGACGTAACATATAATAAGTTATTTGAATGAAACAGTTAAATCAAGATGATATATGTTCAACCATATCAACAAAATTTAATCAAATATTTTTAAGTCAAAGTTTGATTGTTGTGAGGGAATATGCAGGTGTGTCAATGGCTTCACTGACTGAGCTCTCATTCAATTGGACTGGTTTTATAAGCGCTATGATTTCAAACATTTCATTCACATATCGCAGTATCTATTCAAAGAAGGCTATGGTAATATTCCTCTTCTCTCTCCATTGGTCACATTGATCATTACTAAGAAATTGAGACTTGACTGAACCATATTATGCGCTCCCTGACACCACTCTATTATTCTGCAGACTGATATGGACAGTACAAATGTGTATGCCTACATTTCCATAATTGCCCTAATTGTCTGCATACCACCAGCCATAATTGTGAGTAAATTTGTACTTGCGGCCCTCGTGATGAATACAAAAACCTTCATATAACCCATGGACTTCTTATCATTCATTATTTGATCACACAGTTCGAGGGGCCTGCACTGATGAAGGGTGGTTTCAGTGATGCAATTGCTAAAGTTGGTACTGTCAAGTTCGTGTCAGATCTTTTCTGGGTCGGAATGTTTTACCACCTCTACAATCAGGTAAGCATATGCCACCAGATGAACTTATTCGATGCCTTACCCTTTTTTTTTTTTTGTTGGGAGCAAAATTTGATGCCTTGTCAATCTAGCAAAAATACACTAACTTTACCAAAGAAGACATATTCTTTCACACACAATTACATTTTCTTTCCTGTGTTATTTTCTTCAAGTACATGATTGTATGATAGATGGAGTTAACAATATTGTTGGCGTTCTTATCACCAGCTGGCCACCAACACTCTGGAGAGGGTGGCTCCTCTGACTCATGCAGTTGGGAATGTACTGAAACGTGTGTTTGTGATTGGCTTCTCAATCATAATCTTTGGTAAGCATATTTTCCTCTTCCATTTTGGAGCTCTAGTTTAGTTAGTTTCAATTTTGATTGCTTTAATAATCTAAATGAATGGTTCTTGCGTTCGTACATGACAGGCAACAAGATCTCCACCCAAACTGGTATTGGAACATGCATTGCAATAGCAGGAGTGGCCATCTATTCTTTCATCAAAGCCAAGATGGAAGAGGAGAAACGAGTGAGTGCAAATGAAACGACTGAAGAATAATAATATATATTTACAGTGAGTTGTATATGATTATGCTTTTTGTATGATGGTTTTCATTTGTTCTGCTCCTCGTGTGGCAGCAAGCGAAAGCGGCATAAGGAAAAAGAGACGTGCGTCTGAGCGCTGGAAATCATATCAATCATCACAGATTTGCTTCAAAAATAATAGAGTGATGGCTCCATATTGTATTATCCTTTCCTTGTAATAATTTCTGTTTCTTCCTCTCCCTCTCACCCTTGTCAATTTTCTCATCCTCTTTTTTGATTCTATCAAAAACCAAAGTATTTCTGTTTGCTGATTCGCAATCATCTCATGTTGACTGAACCATGATGTATTCATGATTCCCTCGGGACATGTTTAAGCTCTCCTTTTCAATTCCCTTGGTCTCAGAAATTGATAATAATACTGCTTCTCATATATGAAAAGTAGCCAGCTATACATGGAAGTCATTGGCTTGTTGAGTGGACTAATAATGAGTAGAACGAAAATCAACGCAAGGGGATTAACAAAATTTATTCCTTAAATGAGCATATAACATGGCTTTAAGATATTTTATTCTTGTTAATATGACTTTGATATATATATATATATATCCAATCAGCTAAAAAAGTTGTTTATTCATACGAAAGAGGAGTGAGGAGCTCAGTTCCCGCCATGTTTTATTTTGTTTTAAATATACAAAACTTATACATAAATTACTTATTTTTCGTACATGTTCGTGTCATTTTGAGTCCATTTGATAAAAGTTTTCCCAGTGTAAACTTTTCAACCTACGCTGTTGTTATCTATAGTTTGCTTCGTTTAAAAAAAAAAAAAAACCTCAGAAAACTGCTCTGCGTCTACTTTTCTTACTAGGTTGTGTCAAAATATTTTATGGAGCAATTGTACAGAAAAAAAGGATACTCCTCCGGTTCTAAATGTAAGATCCTTATACACACTAGTATAAAGGTCTTATATTTAGGACCGGAGGAGTATTTTATTATGAAACAAAAAGACATCGAAGTAAAATAAAATGTCGAGATTGGCTTTGTGAAGTATTCTTAATTCTTAATATAATTTACCTCGTTCTTTATTACTTTTAAGCTTTAGATGGTTGCGGCTAAGCTACAATAATAAAAAATTGTGGCCAACCCATGAAACTGCTTCTGTAGTTTGAGGAAATTGAATAAAGAGTTAATATTTGAGTGCCCCTTATTTTCTTGCCTATTATATTTTTGTTATGATTATTTAATAACATTTTTATTTCTTCAATAAAAATATAAAATGCATTTTAAACACATTGTTGTTCTCTTATTCTTACTCTAAAAGATAGAATTTATTCTGCACACAAAATTAAATACTACCTCCAATGGTCCTTAATATAAGGGTTGTTTGAATTTTATTTTGATCCTAATTATAAGATTTCAATTCACTTTATTTTTCATATTTATTCATTTTTTCTAAAGCAATCTTAATAATAATGGTTGTTATAACCAATATACTTGGTTAGCAAGAATATTTTAAAAAATATAAACCTATTTATTATAAATAATTAACTTAAATAATTTTTAATCTATTTAAATTAATCAATAAACTCTTATATTAAGGAACATGAGATTTAGTATAATGAAAAATAAAATTAAAATGATCCCCCCGCGATATCCACTTTCTTGACCCAAAACTAAATGACTTAATCCGTATTAAAGCCCAATGAAAAAGCCCATAGGAGGGAAGAGAAAAACGGGAAGGCACATCAAACTGGGCCCAAAGAAACAAAAACACGAAACATCGATTCGCTGATCGCATCAGACGCGAAAGATCCCAAAGAGCAGAGCCAATCAGAAGGAGCCTTCAGAAAAATTTAAAGAACTCCATTCAAAACGCAACAAAACACAGTAACTTGTAATTCAATTTCAAACACTCGCACATCACCATGATCCCACACACACGCACACTAATTAAATTCACCGAAACAACAACCCCCGAAATTGCTAAACCTTAAAATTAAAAGAACTTAAAAAAACGAAAATTCTGACAAGAACCGTGGAATAAAGGTTCATCGAAATTAGAACAACGTGTAGAGATAGAGAGAGACAAGTCAGACAACACAGATTTCATCTCATCAAATAAAAAAGGAAAAACGCAAAAAGAAAAAAAAACTGAACTTTGTTAACAAAAGTCATCTCTTTTTTTGATTTTTGTTTTTAGTCATCGTTACCGAGTTCTCGTTTGACACGAACATTCATCACACCGTTAATAAAAAGAGAAACAAAAAAGCCAGTATTTAGTATTTACGAAGGAAAATAAAAACGAATTATGAAAGGTGGTGGAGGAATTGTACTTGTAGGAGTCAAGGGAAACTGTTGTTGGCTTATCTTTGTTTTTCGATTTTTGTTATTAATATTATTATTGTTTTTCGGTTTGTTCTTTTATTCTTCAATCGTTGTTCTTTCTTTTCAATCCCTCATTGTACGCTGATGCTTTTTCTTATTTATTATGTTATTTCTAATTATTTTTCATCCCAGGATAATAATCTTGTGCCTTTTCAATCCTTGACTATTACGGAATTTTGGTTTAAGAGAGAGGAAGGTAGAGATGAGACGGTATAGATAAGGGAGAAATATTGATTCTTTTCGGTAGCCCTAATTTTCTGTTTTGGTTCCTTTTTCTTGAGCGTTCTGGATTTCTTCTGGGGGTTTGAAGAAGGTAACTTCAGGGAACCTTCGATCTTGATCGTTCTTCAATGGAGGCCGAGTCTGTGTCTGACGGGGAGAATAATCGGAAAAGGGACGCCGCTGATGAGTACAATGACAACAATAATGGAAGTAACAAAAAAATTGTAAATTCCAATGAAGGGCAGAGCAAGCCCAAGCGTCAGATGAAGACTCCTTTCCAGCTTGAGGCTCTGGAGAAAGCTTATGCTTGTTAGTTCCCTTCTTCAATTTTTTGATCTCCCTCTCTATCTGTAGTTTTTTGTTTTATTTAAATTTTTACGTGTTTTTTTTTTTTCAATTTGAAGATTTTGTTTGATATGCGTTCAATCCGTTTGCTAATGGAATGGACTATTTCTGTTGATTAGTGGAGACGTACCCGTCGGAGGCGATGAGGGCAGAACTGTCGCAGAAGTTGGGGCTGTCGGATCGGCAATTGCAGATGTGGTTCTGCCATAGGAGGTTGAAAGACAAGAAGGACGTGCCCAAGTCTTCAAGAAAGGCGCCACCGCCGTTGCCCGCTTCACCGACGGACGAGTTGAGGATGGAGACTGAACTTGCCAATGATTATGGATCCGGGTCGGGTTCGGGCTCAAGCCCGTTTACTCGTTCAGAGTTGCGGAATGTAGTACCTAGGGGTGTTCCTGGGTACTATGAGTCGCAGCAGGCTCTTATGGAGCTCAGAGCAATTGCTTGTGTGGAGGCGCAGTTAGGAGAACCCTTAAGGGAGGATGGACCTATTTTAGGAATTGAGTTTGATCCATTGCCGCCAGATGCATTTGGAGCACCTATCGGTATAACGCTTAGTGCTTTTGTTTTTTCCTCACATCAAGATTGTGTTAACTCATCTTCAGTTTATGCCTTGTCTTTATATGTTTTATTGTTCATTTTTATTTGTTTTTTTATTTTTTGCTAGGACTATCGGTCTCTTACAGTCTTGTATATAACAATTTAACTGTTAAATCAAGTGGGCATGGTTAGAATCTTCACATTGTTCAATTACTTAGGTATCATGAGTTTGTTGGTGTCTGTTTTGTTTCTTAAACATTCTGTATTGTATGAATGTTGTAGCGATTAATGTTCATATACAGCATCTTTGACCACCTCTGGGCCTTTTTTGATAGTAGACATGGTTGCTAGAATCAATAACTTATGTGGCATGAAGGGTTGATAAACTTCTGTTAGTTTTGCGTGCTTCTGTTTTGTTTGGCTGCTGACAATTTGGCGACTTTGTTTTTTTCTTGGAGCAGCAGTTAATGAGCAGCAGAAGCGGCCTAGTCTTGGCTTTGATAGTAAAGTCTATGAAAGACACGATGTTAGAACAAACAAGGTTGGTTTTCTGTTATCTGTATTTAATAACAGAATTGTTTATTAGATTGCATGCAAGTTTATATGCATTTAGTTGCATGTGACTCGCAAGAGATCATTTTTTGTCATCACCGTGGTTGAGTGAGAGATACTTATGATGATTGAGTACCTTTCTGAATGCTTATCCTATTCACTCAAAAGCCCTTAAGATTTTCACTAGTTAATCCACTTGTACCAGGTATTGTAACTTGCTTACTGTTTTGATTTTCGCCGTTTTTCAACATCTTGTCTCTGTTGTTAGCATGAAACATGAAATAAAGTGTTTAGTAACTTCACAACCATATAATCGTGTTGGAACTAGTTTTGACATCCTCAGCTTGAGTGATTATTCATTTGTATTCTTATGTTTCGATTCAATTCGCCGTATTTTTGTTGTTTATTCCACTTTTGTCCTTTTTCCTCTCTGGTTTTGAAGATTATATGTTTGAATGCTCAGTTAATGCAAATTCAGATTGTAGAATGTGTTCCTTTAATTCATAGAAAACATGTTACTGCCTCCATTATCAAATATAAGTAACTAATGAAGCTAGTCACACATATTAGGAAACAGTTTAGTGTCTAAACCAGTATTTTATCTTTTCTATTTTGCCTCCAATAAAGATATGTAGTTGGCCCAATGGTTATTACTCTTCATTGGAAAATGGAGAGTCCAGTGGTTATTTATGGGGGGCATTTTTGTAAAAATCAAGTGAAACATTTATGGAAGTTTGCAATGTTTCTTATTTCTGATAGCAAAGGATTCTCTTAATTTATTGCTTATATTTGATAATAAGGGAGTATTTTTAAAATATAATCTTAAAACTGCTTGTTCTGCTAGATAAGAATTTTGTTTACTGCTTGGTTGCTTTTCTTAGAGTCTTTGATTTTAATTTAGCTCCTTTCCAGGCTATGACAAGGGCCTTCCATGAATATCCATTTCTCCCAAACCACTCCAGTATTAGATCTGATGCTTATGGACAATTGACACAATCTCATTTACTTGATCCGATGGATGGTCCAGCCAGAACTCCGTCTTTTGTAGTAAAAAATGAACAGCTTCCCAGGATTCATGCTGCCCAAGGCCATTCGTCACGTGTTCGTGTTTCATCTCTACAAGATAAGCAAGGGCTTCCCTTTCCGTCGCCCTCTCGTGATGATGATGGCCCTTCTCAAAGGGAATCTTACCCAAACCTAAATATTGGAATGAACTCTCACTTTACTGATCACCCAATTGTTGGACCAGAAAACCCTTATGGGGTAGTTGGTGGACAAATCTTCCCTAGCGATGCAATATTACGGGTTGACAGGAAACGAAAGGTATTCTTTATTGAGCATCGTTTTTATGTTTTATTTCTCCAAACAGTCTTTGCCGAGAATTTATAATTATAAACTTTATGCAGAGTGATGATTCTAGAACTGCAAGAGAAGCTGAAGCCCATGAGATGAGGATCCAGAAGGAGATAGAGAAACAAGATAACATTAGGCGAAAGGTTGTTTTTGAAATGAAGTGTGAAATTTATGAATAGATGTTGAATATGCTTGATCTGATTCCCTTTTGTTCTTCCTCTCGGTTTTAGAATGAAGAGAGAATGAGGAAAGAGATGGAGAGGCAAGATCGTGAAAGAAGGAAGGAAGAAGAGAGGCTGATGCGTGAGAGACAGAGAGAAGAAGAAAGAACAAAGCGTGAGCAAAGACGTGAAATTGAACGAAGGGAAAAGTTTCTGATGAAGGAAAATTTAAGAGTAAGTCTGTTTGTGAGCCTTGTAGCATGATCATCTGTTAGCTAATATTGAAACCTTTGAGGATATGTAATGTATCCTACTGACATGTATCATGGTCTATCTGTTGAAAGGCTGAGAAAAGGAGGCAAAAAGAAGAGCTTCGAAAAGAGAAAGAAGCAGAGAGAAGAAAAGCTGCTCTTGAGAAGGCAGTTGCCCGCAGAATAGCTAAAGAATCTATGGAGCTTATTGAGGATGAACAACTGGAATTGATGGAGTTGGCCGTAGCAAGCAAGGGACTTCCCTCAATTATAAATCTTGATCTTGACACCTTGCAAAACCTTGATATGTTTCGGGGTGAGCAATATAATTTTAAATTGTCTAATTAGCACAATTTGGTTTGGGGTGAAGGCGAATGAGGTCCCAATACTGATACTCATTTGTTTACTGTAGATTCATTGTGCACTTTTCCACCCAAGAGTGTAAAGCTGAAAAAAACCATTTGCCATCCAACCCTGGATCAAATCTGAGGAGCATGTTGGCAACCTTCTCATGGTTTGTCCTTATTATCACTTTTACTTGTTTGAAGCGTTAATTGTGGTTTAGCATTTAAGCTTTAGTTATTTAATTAACAGTTCTTATAGTCTTAGATTAATTTTGTATTTATTCGTGATCCTTTTTGAGCAGTGGCTCTTTCGGCATGTAGTCTTGTGTACCCTGAAAATAATAAAATATTCTTCGGTTGCCTTGCTGTTATGTCTGGGTTTCTGGATGCGCTGCTTTCTCTAGCTCATGTTATCTTTTTAGTTTTATTTATTATTTAGACAATAGATTGATTTGTGACTTCCGAGTTCAAGGTTTTAAAGCTTTGGTGGTATATTACAGGTTTGGAGATTTCTGATTACATTTGCGGATGTCCTTGAGTTGTGGCCTTTTACTCTTGATGAATTTTTGCAGGCATTTCATGACTATGTGAGTCCATATGTTTTGAGCTGTTAAAATGAATTGTTCTATGCATTTTTTCCCTTCCCTTTTCACTTTGTGGGTTCAATCTGCAAACCGTTGGATCTCAGGATTCAAGATTATTTGGTGAGATACATGTTGCTCTTCTCAAGGTGATAATAAAGGACATCGAAGATGTTGCAAGGACACCTACAGGATTAGGTACTAACCAGAATGGGGCTGCTAATCCTGGTGGTGGCCATCCAGAGATTGTGGAAGGGGTAAGTCTATATATTTCCAAAATATTCTGTACTTTTTAGTCAATCAGTAGGTTTTTTCAATGTAATGTTGTTTTAATTTATTTATTTTTAAATATTAGGCGTATGCCTGGGGCTTTGATATAAGAAATTGGCAGAAGCACTTGAATCAATCAACATGGCCAGAAATTTTCCGACAGTTAGCATTGTCTGCAGGGTTTGGACCACGGCTGAAAAAAAGAAATATCACATGGTCATATGCAAATGATAAAGATGAGGTTCATCATTCTTCTTTATGATAATTGACTTCGTTAATTTCAGGACTTCTGGTATTTCCTATGTTACGTTAATACTCCATTGTTTTAATTCCAAATTTGAGGGGAGCACACTATTTTGGATATTGCTTCTCTTTGTTGCAGTCTTGAGATTTTTTTATGTTCAATTTGAATCTTGGGACGAGAGCATTTCTGTTGCCATTGAATGGTTGGCTGAGCAATTTGTCTGCATCTATTTATCAACAATTGAACTTTTTCCTTTTTATTTTTTATTTTTTATTGTGTTTCACGGACTAAATGAGGAATGATTCTATGTGTTACAGCAGGGTAGAAGTTGTGAAGACATCATCTCCACTCTTCGCAATGGTTCAGCAGCTGAAAATGCTGTGGCAAAATGCAAGAGAAAGGTCTGTTAGCCCCTCG